CACCCGAATAAACACACATGCCCAGACAAGAGGCCATTTGACTTTTGGCTGTGGAACTTTGTCAAACGGGAAAGCCTGAGATGTTTAGCTCAATGTTATTTGATAGCATCTTAGATTCCTCTACACTTGGTGTAAACAAGTTCTGCCTCCTGCTTGTTGACTTTTGTAAATATTGTTGTGACTATAAATTATTTTTATAACATCTTAAAGTTATTTGCTACTCATGTAGATTTTCCCAGTATACTACCTTCCAGCCATCTCTAACTAGATTTTTTTAATGTGTTACTTTTGAGTTTTCTGTGGGATTTTATCATCTGTAAGATTTTATCTTCCTGTCCCGCTTAGTTTGGCCTTCAGGATAGGACCCACAGTGCACTGCTTTGTAAATTCGCCGTGTGCTATTATTTATCCTGTAGGTAAACTGTCTTACCAATATAAGCCCTTTCCTATGAACAAATGCTACATGATTGAGGCCCTCAGTGCTAGTGCTGATGTATCTACAGCTTGCGAACTCTGCAGAAAAGCTAACACATGTCACTAGCGGTAACTGGGTCATCCAGAGGATTTCCCACCTGGGGGTGGGGGAGCTGGGGATATGACACAGCTCAGTGGTAGAGCACCTGCCTAGTATGTCTAAGGTTCTGGTTTGGATCCCCAGCACCAGAATAAAAACTAATCACTGCATGGTCTAAAACCATGCTTCTCAAAGCAGTGGTGGTGTACACCTTTAATACCAGGACACAGGTGAATCTTTGAGTTCAAGGCCAACCTGGTCTACAGAGCGAGTTCCAGGATAGCCAGGGCTACACAGAGAAATCCTGTCTCGAAAACCCAAAAAGGAAAACAAACTGTCTCTCAACCTTCCCAATGCTGTGACCCTGTAGTGCAGTTAGTTCCTCATATTGCGGTGACCTTCAATCAGAGTTATTTCATTGCTACTCCATAGCTGCAATTTTGCTATTTACAAAACGCAATGTAAATCTGGCGTGCAGGCTATCCAATATGTGATTCCAAGGGAGTCGCGACCCACAGGTTGAGAACCACTGGAATGAGCCACCCAAAGCTCCTCTCAGCCTTCCCAAACAAGATTGTATCTCTCGCTCCTCTGTCAGCACTTCCTTTGCCCCGGGCTCCCTCCGGCTGCTGCCGGTGATGGAAGAGGCAGCTGGGTCACTGGGAAGCGTGTGAGCGCTGCACAGAGTAAGTGCCAAGTCAGAACTACGAAGCGGAGGCTCTGCTGACAGACGGCAGAACAGTGTCCTGCAGCACCTCGGGGAATCCCGTCCACAGACCTCCGGCCCGCGCTTCTTCTAAGTGCTTCCATTTCTCAGAAAGCCTTTTCTTTGGGTCTCTGCTCACGAGCTTTTAGGAACAGGCTGTTTTATTGTACTTGACTCCCCTGGCCTGAGGGCATAATTAGAAGCAGAGCAGCCGAATTCATGAAGTGGAAACTGAAACTAAGTTCTTTAACTCACTTTCTTTCAAAGTGAGCCCTGACCAGTGAATTCTAGCAAATGTACCAAAAGCCTTGAGGATTGTTGAAAGAAAAATAAAATTTAAAAGTTATCGCTTTCCCTTTTTCTTCTTCCACACAAATACCCGATGCAGGTCAGGAGTGACAGGAACATTCACAGCAAGTTTGTGACTGATGTACAAACCACAGCTGTTCTCCAACGGTTTCCATGTGGGTCACGTTCATGAGGTTTATGCCCTGAGCAGGTTCCCATGCAAAACAAGAGATGGAATCTTTGCTTCTCTTCTCACCAGGCAGAACACAGTTTCCTAATTCACATTCCTAGGCACCCTGATCCCGGAACAGGGGTGACCTGGATACCTTCCTCAACCAGCCATCCCGGTCATGAGAAGACCCACACCAACAAGGAATAAATAAACTTCTTAATTTGCATCTTCGGCTGGGCATGGAGGCACAGACCTTTAATCCCAGCACTCGGGAGGCAGAGGCAGGTGGATGGATCTCTTGTGAGTTTGAGGCCAGCCTGCTCTACATAGTGAGTTCCAGGACAGTCATAGCTACATAGTGAGACAGTATCTTGAAAAACCAAAATAGTAATAATAACAACAACAACAACAAAAATAATTTATGTCTTAGTCTTTATCAGATTTGTTTGGCATAATTAACTCCCCAGGAGCATGCTGAGGATAACCGGGGACAATGAGTGTTCAGAACCTGCAAAGTTGAACTCCAGGCCCTACCCTGTGTTCAATATCCTGTGCCTCTCACCAGCCTTCCTGACTGGCTGGTTGGCTTCCTCTGTAGTGTGTGTGTGTGTGTGTGTGTGTGTGTGTGTGTGTGTGTGTGTGTGTGATATCTATGCTGGCATATGCTTCCCCTCCTGGCCATTTAAGTACATCTCACTCTTTTGTTTTCCTTGAGGTGGGCTCTCTACATAGCCCTGGCTGTCCTAGAACTCAGTAGGTTCCAGGCCAGCTTTGAACTCAAAGAGATCCACCTGCCTCTCCCTCCCAAATGCTAGGACTAAAGGTGTGCAACGACATGAACATCCTGCAAATACACCTCACTCTTTTTTTTTTTTCCTTCTGTTTTTTTTGAGACAGGGTTTCAAAAACTCACTCTGTAGACCAGGCTGACATCGAATTCAGAGATCCCCCCCTCCCCGCCTCTGCCTCCCAAGTGCTGGAATTAAAGGTGTGCGCCATCATGCAGCCTGTAAGTACACCCCACCCCACTCTTCCTTTCTTTCTTTCTTCCTTCCTTCCTTGCTTCCTTCCTTCCTTGCTTCCTTTCTTTCTTTTTGAGACAGGGTTTCTCTGTGTAGCTTTGCACCTGTCCTGGGTCTCGATCTGTAGACCAGGCTGGCCTCGAACTCACAGAGATCCGCCTGGCTCTGCCTCCTGAATGCTGGGATTAAAGGCGTGCGCCACCACCGCTTGGCTAAGTGCACCCCACTCTAAGGCTCATCTGAGGCTGATCTTTTCTCCAGCGTCTTCAAAGCACTCTGACAGTGAGTATACACTCTCCTAGGAACTTCCATATCAGATATCTTTATTTTAGTCATGTGACACCGCCCTTACAGTTGTTGTTTTGTTTTACAGATTTCAATGCGTGTCTTTCTCCTAGCAACAAAAATTCCATGATATGTATGCCATACTTGCTATAATCTGTGCCAGAATTCAGTGCAAAACGTCTGGACCACTTAAAGTACAAATGCATGCCTGTCATGTGTCTCTTTATTGGGTAACACATCCATTACTATAGTATATAATATATATATATATTATAGTATATATTATATATACTATATATAGTATATATAAATATATATTATATATACTATAGTAATTTTCATTTTAGCATGAAATTTGGTGTAAAATAAATCTAACTTAAACTTTTCCTAGGTATTTAGTTCCAGAAACTCCAAAATAACCTCAAAGATGACTTCAGCCAGAAGGGAAATCAGGAATTCAACCAAGAATTATTTGCTTTTTATCACCAAGTGTTTGAGATTGTGGGCTCCAGAGAGGGGGTCCTGGGTTCTTAAAGGGGTTGAATGAGTAAAAGCTTGTGACTAACAGATACTTAATGCTATGGAATACTTACTAAACTATTTTCTTCTTAATAAATGATTATTAGTCCATTTGCTATCTCCCTCAAATCTGTTTTCTCCTTTGCATCTTGAGAACTTGAACAATAAAAAAAAACTGTCACCACATATCTTTTTTATTATTTAATGTAACACTGCCCAACACTGCTCCCATTCAGAGTCCACTCTAAATTCTGACACTCCTACAGTGCAGTTTCTATTCTGCAGAAGCAGGTTTGGAGGGGCTCCTCATGGCACTCTCTCACAGGGGCCAGGCCTCATCAGAAGTCCGCAACATGGAAGTCTCTTGGCTTCTGTCAACCCTGGCCTCGCTCCCCTGCCGTCCTTCCAGATTCCCACAGCTGTCCGACTGGCTCACTTGAAAGCTTAGCTCTGTTCTCGTCCTCGGACTACATCAACCTAGGATTTAGCACTCTAGAAATTTCCATCTTTTCCAAACAGCAACTCACTTCCTGCTCTGGCCCCGAGCTCCTGTCCTGCAGGTCCAGGTGCAGACATGGGCTTTGTTCTTGGCATCCAGTGACGCTCTGAACCAGTGCACTCCGGGTTCAGTAGCGCTATCCCAGGACGAATCGCTGCCACTTCCTGGCCAGTCCCCATCACTGCCACCCCTGTGGAAGATCTCCCATGTATTTTCCTCGGTTCTAGTTATCGGCTGCCTCAGCTGTTGCACTGCAGAGTGATGCCCACATCTACTGGGCATCACTTCATCCATGATCCTCTGTTGCCACACACTGGCTAAGAAAACAATCATGAAATCCACGACAGAGTTGGAACGAGACCAATGATTAGCTTTCCACCCTCCCTTGGCACTCGTGACCACCCCCTCCCCATACCCGGTGTAAGATGTAACGGGAGACTCCACAGCTTCTCTCCTGGATGCCTAGTCTAACTGTACAAAAGCTCATTAAGTTGTATAGACTTTGGATCTGGTTAATTAATTCAAAAAAAATCTCTGCTGTGTGATTTTTCACTTATTGCAAGTTTTTATAATAAAGTTTGTAAGATGAACAAATTCCTCAAAAAAAAAAAAAAAAGCAAGAGTAATGAAAATGCAACAAAAATAAAACTGTGTTTAGGACTTGACTTGACTTAAATATTAACTCTGTTTTACAAGATAGGAAAGATGAGATTTAAATCCATTTTCAAACTTATTCTACAAGGCACTCCATCCTTTTTCCTCAAACAGCTCATGCTTTGGAAAGTGAAACTTAACTCACTCACTCATTAAAAATGAACAGAGCACAGAGGGAAATTCCAAACTCGGAACTCACAATAAACACAAATAACCTCAATTTTGCAACAGGGGACTTCCCTTGAAGGACACTGAAGTCTTGCTGAGTCAACTCCAAAGTCATCCAATCAAGAGTCAGGGAGGGAAACTCTGGGCCGATAAATACTGCCCAGTGGCCCAGCACTCCACGAGGCATTCATCCACGGCTGACACACCTCCTGAGCCAGCCAGCCAGAAGTCTCCACTGTCAGCACCATGAACCCCAGCGCTGCCCTGGTGCTCTGCCTCATCCTGCTAAGTCTGAGTGGGACTCAAGGTAAGGAACGCCCAGTCAGAAGGACAACTGAGCTCACTTCTAAACACAGTGTAGCTTTAAGTTTGGTGTGTGCCTACAAAAAGAGAGGGAAGCAGGCAGGGATCCCTCCTGCTTGCAGACTTTGTCTCGTGCTGGTTGGTCAGAGGAAAATTGAATAAGAGAAAGAGAATAGAGAAGAGAAGAAAGAGAGGAAAAGGGGAGGTAGGAAAAAAACTGAGGATGGAGGAGGAGCGGAGAGATGAGGAAGGAGAGAGGGAGCTAAGACAGATGCCTCCTTACCGAAGCCTAATGAATAATATGACCTATACCTGAGGGCATGATTTCACCACTAACAAGTTGCAGGCAGCTCCCTTCTTCACGGTAATAACTATTTCACCATTCAGACCTATGATATGACGATGGGCTACATCTCTTCTCAGATTGACAATGTGGGGACAGGTTCTGCATATACTACCTCACCTGTATTAAGTGCCTAAAATGGAACCGTAAGCTAACCTTTCCTGCTCCACTGCTCTCTTCCTGCAGGAATCCCTCTCTCAAGAACAGTACGCTGCTCCTGCATCAAAATTGATGACCGACCGGTAAAACCGAGGGCCTTAGGAAAACTGGAAATTATTCCTGCGAGCCAGTCCTGTCCACGAGTCGAGATCATGTGAGTAAAGCCCCGCGGGCTGCTAGCTTCCCTCACACATTAGACATGGGACGCTAATCAGGAAAGGTCCACAAAGGGTTTGCGCTGCCCCTACCACTAGCGAGCGAATGGAAGATGACTTCTGCTCTGGGCCTGTGTGGTCCTTCTGTTGTTGGCCTGCTGTTCATCTATCTCACCGCTTGCTTCCAGTGTCACAATGAAGAAAACTGAAGAGAAGAGATGTCTGAATCCAGACTCTGAGGCCGTCAAGAGTTTGTTGAAACTGGTCAGCAAAAACAGGTAGGTGGGCTGTGGCTCTTTCGGGAAACGGCAGTCTTGGGAAGTAACGTACGCGCTGGGCTTTGTTGTGGGATCTTTGCCTTAAACCCGTCGCCACCATGTCCCATTCTGCCTCCATTTTCGCAGACACTGAGGTGCCACCTCGGCCATAAATACCTAATGTCTAGAGGTGACAGGTAATGACTTTAACCTGTGAGCAGTTCTAACTGTCCGGGTAAAGCGGTCCAATTTCCCCCATTTCCTCACTAAAAACAACGGCCATGTGACCCACGGCGACTGGGTAGCAGAGGGGAGTGCACCGAGCCTTATTCCCAAGGGTCTTTGGGTTCCCAGACTGGAGCCCGAGAGTCTCTTCCACTCACTACACTGTCTTCTTCCTACAGGTCTAAACGAGCCCCTTAACCAGAGAGCAGCTGATCACCGCAGTGCTGTGACCAAGAGGCGGCGGCAGAGAGCCTGCCTCTCCATCCCTTCCCTTCCCGCGGTGTGTGGCTAGCCTTAATTGTCCCTGGTTCTCCTGAAAGGTGACCAACCATGGTCACATCAGCTGCTATTCCTGGTGACGTCACGTCACTGAAGGACGATGGACAGTGCATCGTCCTGAGACAACAGGGACTCCAGTGATAAGTGTTCCCAGCTCCACTAAGAGCTGGTCCTGAGTTCTCAAACAGCTGAAATAGCTCTCCTCGCCCTGTACTGTAAGCTGCACTGAGGTGCTACACTCCCAGCCTTGGGCCAAGCCATGCCTGCTGCCCACACACTCCTCATCTTCCTATCTTAGGTGTGTTAGGAGATCTCTTCAGTTCAGAGTTACCTGGGTTCATTTACTTCAAATACAGTCAAAGCCTGCTTCTAAGAACCAACTTTACTTCATGGCGTACTGCCCCGTCTTCCCAAGGGAACTTCATAACTCAGAATACTTACAGGAAGCTAAAAGTATATGGAAATGTGTGTATAGATATTATTTAATGAGCAACTGTACAAAGTAGAATTCCTAGATGTATGTTTTTTGTACGACTTTCATTGTAAACGGAAGACCTTGTGTAATTAAGAATGTATCGATGAACAATTAGAGAAGTTGATATTGACAAGCGTTTCTGAATGTTACATAACACAAAAGGGGTTGGATGGTTTTCAAAGTAAAAATAATGTACTGTACTGAAAATATTAAGAGACCAAAAAAGATAATAAAGTAATAACTGATATGAAATGTTCTATGGGTCACGTGACTGAGAATTATTTCAGAGGTTTAGAGACTCCATGGCTTGGACAGGAAGTTGGGGTGGGGGTGGGTAGAGGACAAGTGAATCAGGAAAATTACCCCGCTCCTCCTAAGTTTAGCCTCCTGAAGGCCCAGCATACAAGATTCCTATATGACTGGCAAGGCATGAGAGAATGGTATGGGCATGGACCCTGACCTGGTGAGTTTTTATTGTCAGCTCCACACAAGTGAGTCATCTGGGAAGAAGGGGTCTCAGGTGAGGGGATGTGTAGATCAGACTGGCCTGTGGCCATGTCCGGGGGTGGCTTGATGTGGGAGGGCTCAGCCCACTCAGGGCAGGGTCCCGCTGAGCAGGTGGTCCTGGGGTGCGTGAGAAAGCTAGCTGAACATGAGCCAGAGGAAGCAAGCCAGAGTGCACGCCAATAAGCAGCCTGCTCCGCGGCTTCTGCTCCGGCGTCCTGCCCTGGCTTCCCTTGGGGATGTAGACTGGTGCCTGGAAGCAGGAGCTAGATAGAGTCAAGCCTCTCCTCCCTGAAGCTGCTTTTGGTATTTACCACAGCAACAGAGAGAGAGCTGGGGCAGACTCCCAGATCCAAGACAGCTCCGCCAGAATAGCGCACAGGGGAGCCTGGAAGCAATCACTTCTCTCCTCGCCCTGTGTCTTCGCCTCCACTTTCTAGACTTGGTTAATTACACCACCATCCATCCACTCAGTTCCCCAAACGAGCAAGCCACATGACCACTTCTTCCCCACCTCCTCGGTCCAGTTAGTGACTGAGAAGAGGCCTGCAACACAATTAGCTGATAAAATATTAGTCTCTGAAACGTATGAAGAATCCTCATGTAAAAACAAGAAAATACATTTTAATAATTTAAAAAATAGCCCATGGTACTTTGTGCTTTTAATCCCCATGCTGGTGAGGTGGAGACATAAATCTCAGCCAGTATAGCCTACTGCTACACACACACACACACACACACACACACACACACACACATACACACACACAGTACAACTGGAAATAATCTCACATGCCAATTTTTGCATAATAAATACAAATAATAGAAGACTGAGGAACAGATACATGTACATATTATTTAGGGTTATTACAAAATTAGCCTTCTCTTTCTGGCAAGCAATCAAATGTTACAGAAAACATTGAATATTCTTATCATCTGTCTTTTTAATTTCAAAGAAGGAAAAACTAAAAACATTTATGTTACAAGACACGGTTTCACTGTGTTGTCCACGAGGGCCCTGAACTCTGGGGTTTGAACGCTCACCCTGCCTCGGCCTCCTCAGCAGCTGAGACTGCGGTGCATGCCACCCCACACAGAACCAGAAAACAAAGTCACTTAAGACATAATAAGAGCATTATTGTACTACTGATACTAGAGACAACCCAAATGCTCAGTGTTGAGAACCAACAGTCTAGACATATGAAAAACTATTTAAAAACACACCATCTATGTAGAGGCAAAGGAAATATTTATAGAAAGTAAAATTAATGGATGACAAAGTGACAAAATTAGTGGCAAAGACTTATACATAGGTAGGGGTGTGGTGTGTGTGTATGTGTGTGTGCGTGTGTTCGTGCGTGCGTGCGTGCGTGCATGTGTGTGTGCGTGTGCGCGTGCGCGTGTGCGTGTGCGTGTGCGTGTGCGTGTGCGTGTGCGTGTGTGTGTGTGTGTGTGTGTGTGTACATGCGTGTGCTCGCTTCATAAACCTCTGGGACGTGCTCTCTTGACTAGGATCCTTCATTTCATCTTTAGAGACTCTAACCGGTTCTTCACCCTTCAGCGCCGGCTACATTTTTAGACTCAGTCCTCCCAATCCCGCCCCACTGTCTTCTACCCCGGCACAGCACCTGAAGCTTCTGAACGCCCCCTCATGCCCCACACTTAGGAACCCCAGGTTTTCCCTCCGGCTCTAATTCCAACAGCGGTTTGAAGCTTTTCACAACAGCTGGAGATTTCTCTGCCCAGTCAATGTGTACTGTCCTTTGATGGGATCCATTTCTCTCCCAGAGTCATTGTTTGTTTAGTGTGGATTTGCCCCAAGTAAATTACAAGCTCTCTGAGGGCAAAGGTATTTGTGTCCTTAGAATCTAGAATCATAATGAAAGTTTGATGAATGAACTGGAGTGAAGGAAAAAAAGGCTCAATGAAGCGTTCGTGAACGTGGAATTTTCCAGCATGGAAACACACACCTGTAACCCCAGAACTCAGAAGGTGAGTCTCAGGAGGTCAAGGTCATCCTCAGTTATGTGAAAAAAAAAATTAAGTCAGGCTGGCTACATGAGACCCTGTCTCAAAATTTAAAAAACTATTAAAATGGATTTTTTCCCTTAGTGTTTTTGTTTGTTTTGTTTCTTTAGATTGACATAGTTTTGTGTGTGTTGGTGTCTTGTGGGCAGGTGTGTCTGTGTACCACATGCGTGTCATGCTGCGGAGGCCAGAAGGGTGGCAGATCCTCCGGAACTGGGGTTACAGCCAATTATTAGCTGTCGTATGGGTGCTGGGAACCAAACCTCCATCTTCAACAAGAGCAACTACTGTTCCTAAACTCCTGCGCCCCAGCCCCTGGAGAGTTACTTTTCACACTTGTGAGTGAATCACTTAAAATAAGTCGGAATATTTAAGACAGAAAAACCCATCCTCCCTTTTCAGGATGCTTTCCTTCGGTCTTGGAAGCAGCTTTCTTGTGACCATTACTACTGTGTGTCATCAGACTGCAGACAGACTGCTACGCCAAAAGTCCCAGGACAAAACAACTGTGCTGCCTGTCGCCACCCTGGGATCACATCTGGACGGACGGTATCTCTCAAAACCACCTAACAGTCACAAATCAAACAGCCCCAAGGGCTTTTTATTAGACATAAACCACGAAGCCAAGACAATAAGATTAACGAAGGAAGAATTTATTCCTTTTTGTTTGGGACCTGAAATACATACACAAAAGTATGATTTGCTAGCGGAAAAAGTTTTTCAATTGTTTTTTCTTTTTTTAAGGAGTGACTCCCTGACTGAGGGAAACGAATTCAGGATGCTAACTCACAGCTTGAGACTTTCGAGAAACACCCCGTTTTAAAGTTAGGCTCTCTGAACAGTAGCAGCAACTGGTGAAAAGTGGGGAAGTCCACACAGTGAGAAATTAAAACGGGCATGTGAGTTTCAATCTGAGAGAAACTTCCCCTCCGACAAGCAAAAGGAAGCCTCTCTGGTCTTTACTAAGACAGTTGACATGCGCACCGTTAACCTCTTTAAACCGGTCTACACGGCTCCATAATGAAACAGGTGGCAGGCAGGCCAGGCCAGACACCATAGAGGGCCAGCAAGCCTGCTGTGCCTGGCTCCTGGGGATTACATCACCGAGTTCCTCAGGGACACTGACATGGAAAAAAAGAAGTGGGTTTTGTTGTCGTTGTTGTCCAAGGAGGGAATTAAGAGCTGTCTGTTGATTGCAACAGTCCTGATAATCCTTGGCTTTCTTCCCAGGCCTATGAGAAACTCCAGCAACATCCTGTCTTACTTAGCAAGTTTCTATTTCTCCTAAAAAGCCCGTAAGTCTCTGTGGGGTTCTCTCGCCTCCGTCCCTCCGGTCTGCACCGCACTTCCTCTGGAAGGAAGCTGGCGTGCAAGTATCAAACATGGAGGCTGGGAAGCAAATGTCTTAGGAGCCTGAACCCAAATGGTCTATCTTCACACCTAAGGGCCCAAGGCTGATCTGAGAAGCTTTACCCTGGAAGGATCTTCCTGGTGCTCAGGAAGCCTCCTTTTAGCTGTTAGTGAGGAAGGAGCCCCTGCAAGGCAGCAGCAGCGAGCCTGAGCTCTGGCGCTCCCCGCCTCTGGGGATGCGAGCATGTGGGATACGAGCATCTGGGGATGCCAGCATCTGGGACCCAGGGGCTCTGGCCGACCTCAACACCAGCTCCTGCCCAATGAGCCTTCCTCAAGGTCACCTCAGCCACCCTCACCTCCACCCCCCAGGGATATTCCCCAGCCCTGTGGCCTCCATGCATGAGCTGGGCTTCTGCAGCCATCGCTCCCTCCCACCCTCACCAAGGCTCCCGAGAAAGCCACACGCTCCCAGGCGTCCTCCTCCGAGGTGAGCCTCCACTCCGCTTCCTGGGGACAGATGGCCTCCTCAGGTCCAGGAGGCTGAGGGACCGTGGGGACGAAGGGGGAGAGCCCCAGGGCACACACTACCTTTCCTCCCTAAAGTGCTTCTTTCCTTCAGCAGATGAGTGCAGGCAGCCCCAGCAGCTACACCAGCGGCGGCGTAGAGTGAGCGTTGGGCACTCCGGGTGGAGGAAAGTTCTGGAAGCAAACTGGCTGGGCATGCGCACTGTGCACAGCCCCACTGGAAGAGGTCACAGAATCTGTGGCTCGAGATTTCAATCCTTGGCTGATGCCAGATCTTGCCCAAATGGGCTCTGGTCCCTGTGTGTCACTTGTGAGCATTTATACTGAGTACAGTTACTAGGCTTCGAGAACACTCTTCCAGGAGAGGTGCTGGGTTATCATGTTCAACCGTGGATCTTTACAAACCCCCCTCCTAATAGAAGGAGAGAGTAGAGTGCCCCGGATAAGCTGACATTGCTTCCTACATCAGTTCGATGAGGACGGGCCAGGAGGCGCCATGAGGACTCCATGGTGGAGCTAAGTGATGACGTCTTCCCAAAGTCAGGATGCTGAAGAAGGTAAAATTACTGTGCTGCAGGGTAAAGCATGCGGAGTGGTCACATTGCAGACACGAGTGGGGAGGCAGGACATGAGAGAGAAAGAGGGATGCAATCAGTCTGGAAAATAAAACCATACAGCTCATGCGGAGCCTGCTTTCCTCCTTAGGCTAAGAAGGCTCCATCAGCTCTGGTAGAAAGGACAGCCGCGGGCTGCCGTGCAGCTTGTGTTTGGGAGTGGGTTCTTTCCACACACACTTGGACCGTTTCATACATGCATGTATCAATGGTAGGCATTTGCACCGCCTGT